ATCCTCAGTCCCATCCAGTACCACCTGAACTCTACTGGCCTCTGCTGGTAAATACTGGTAAAATACTACAGCTCTTTGGAGTGTAGTTCCTGTTCGCCTTTATCAGACCCAGTGCCTCTTCTGCTGTGTTATACTGTAACTTAATCCTACCTGTAGGACTTGTGGCCAGGAGAGGCTATCGAGGTATATCCAGAAGAAGCATAAGTTGTCTTACGGGTTAGAAACCTCTGCATAGCCTCTGATTAAGGAGGCATTGCACATGTCAACATGAGTCAAAATTGACTCAATGGCAAAGTGGTTTGCTTTTGGCTAGATGGTAATAAGAAGGGGTGGAAACTTTGGCTTATTCAGAGGGTTTAAAGAAACGTAGGAATTCAAGAAATTCAGGGACATTAACACAGATGTTCCCATCCCATGTATCAGATATCTCTCTTGGTTGGTAATTTAACTTTCTTGAAGCTCCACTACTCTCATCATTAAGCTTTTTGTCTTGACCATGGCTTAAGTTGTTCTCCCTCTGTAAGAGATAAGACATTCCTAACGATCCATCTGACTTTCACGTGTAGCTTTGAAATGTCAGTTAATTACTTACATCTTTTGGTTATTTTTCCAGAGCATCAATTGAACTTAGCAATAGCCATCCTAATTCAGGTACAGTCTCTATTTTCCTAATATTTTTCAAAAGCCTGACATGTTGCACCAGCTAATGAATTTCTTTTCATAACTGATCCCAATTCTCCACTGTCTGCTCTTTAAAAAATATTAAACATCCACCTAGTGCCAGGGACTCTTGTGCTCCGCTTACACCCAGTGATGGGGTCCTCATTGCCTCTGGGTGGCAATTGATCCAACTTTAACACCCCAGAAAAAGCTTTAGCTTACCCAATGGGGAACTCTGGAGTTGGATTAGCCCTTTAGCATTGGCCAAAATTGGCCGATACTGTTTGGCTTGTATAATCCTACATTAATCAGTTATTGGATGCGGGACTCCCTGGGCAAGGCAGCTCTCTGCAGCTGAAGTGATCCCTGAAAATGTAAAAGTTGACAGAAGAAAGTTGTCTGCCAACAACACTACTAGAACCTAAGCATCAAATCATTCAGGAAGAGTAAATCCAGACAACATGTCAATGATTCATGTCCTGAGGACAGTAGTGACCTTAACATACTTATTCTGGGGTTTTAAATAGAATGTGAGCAATGACACCTAGAAGAATTTTTGGAGGGAATTGAAAGCAAAGAGCCAAGACTGGAGACTGCAGAAAAGCATTAGCATAACATGTCTGAGACTGCTGTCTTCAGAAAGGCCTACTTGTGTCACTGGCCCTTGACTGGTGTCTAGGAAATTTACTGTCAGAGCATTCCCAACATTTCCTAACTGGTAAGAGTGGGTCGCTGTGCCTAAAACTGCACAAACAAAATTGTTTAGAATGGCCACCTTATTTTCTTCTGGAAGTCTTGTATTTTGATATGTGTAAGGCAGAGGTACTTACATGAGGAGCCTCCAAAAAAAAAAAAGTGATGAGTGATGTGTCTCTAATAACCTTACCTGGGCAGTAACATTGCAATATGTTGCTGCATTTTTTGTTGCTAGTCTAGGTGATCCTGTAAGCATGGGGAGAGCATAAGGAAAAGTGCATATGGATTCCCCTATATTTTACCTATCTTTTTCCTTTATGATCCTACTGTGTGGCCTAAGTATATTGGTATAATAAATCACAGCTGCAAGTACAACTATAAGCTAAGTCCTGCAAACCCTTTTAAAAAATTGCTGAATGTACAGGTGGTTTGAGGGATCCTCAAAAGTGAAATCATTGATGACAATGAGGCCAAAAAAGAAAGCTGTGAAATTTCGTTCCTTCAGTACTCAGGGTATAGTTGTATTTATCCCAGCTGGCATTCTTGCAGAAATAAACAAACTGATCCCAAAATTCATAAAGAAATTCAAGAGCCCAAGAATAGTCAAAACAATCTTGAAGAAGAACAAAGTTAGATGACTCACACTTCCCAAATTCAAAACTTCCTATAAAATACAGTAATCAAGCCAGTGCAATACTAACATAAGGATAGACATATAGATGAAGGGACTAGAATTAAGGTCCAGAAATAAACACATACATTTATGTAGAAGTGATTTATGACAAGGATACTAAGACAATTCAATATGGAAATAATAGTCTTGTGAACAAATGATACTGGAACAACTGGACATCCAAATGCAAAGGAATAAAATTACCTCACAACACTCGCAAAAATTAACTCAAAATGGATCAAAGACTTAAATAAAAGAACTAAAATTATAAAACTCTTAGATGAAAGCATAGGCATATATCTTTGTGACCTTGAATAGGGTACTGATTTCTTACATACAGCATGAACAGCAAAAGCATAAGCAATAAGGGAAAAAAAAAATGGATCAACTCGAAACCATCAAAATAAACACATTTGTGATTCAAAGGACATTATCAATAAAGTGAAAAGATAACTCATAAATCAGAGAAAATATATTTGAAATTATATAACTAATAAAGGTTTAGTATCCAGAACTTATAAAAAACACTTATAACTCAATAATAATAAGACAAAAAATCCAGTTTAAAAATGGGTAAAATATTTGAATATGCACTCTTTCAAAGATGATATGCAAACAACTAATAAGCAGATGAAAGGATGTTCAGCATCGTTAGTCATTAGACAAATGCAGTTCAAAACCAAAATGGTATATCATTTTACTCATTCTAGAATGGTTATGATAATATTTTTTTTAAAAGAAAACTTGTGATAGGGAGTATGTGGAGAAATTAGAACCTTCTTATATTGCTGGTGGAAATGTAGAATTATGCAGCCACCTTGGAAAACATTTTGACTGTTCTTCAAAAAGTTAAATATAGAGTTCCCATATGAATCAGCAATGTTACTCCTAGGTATATCCCAAGAGATTTGAAAAAATGAACTGAAACAGATACTTATACACCAATGTTCATAGCAGCACTATTCACAACAGACAAAAGATGGAAACAATCTAAGTGTCCCTTCAGATGAATGGGTAAATAAAATGTGGTATAACCTTAGAGTGAAATATTATTCAACCATATAAAGGAATGAAGTACTGATACATGCTTCAACATGGATGAACCTTATGCCAAGTGAAAGAAGCCAGTAACAAAAGGTTATAAACTGTATGATTACATTTATATGAAATCTCCAGAATAGGTGAATTCATAACGATAAAAAATAGATTAGTGATTGTCAGCATCTGAGGCTGGAGGAAACAGGCAGTGACTGTTAATGGATTTGCCGTTTCTTTTGGAATTGTTACTGAACACTAGAAGGTGGTCCTTGTCCAGCACACTCAGACTTGCCAATTATCTGGACACCGGTCTTAGAGAAAGAGAAAGTAACCTTATTGCAACGCACAGAGCAAGGAGCCAGGAGGAAGTTCCTCAGATCTAGCTCCCTGAGCTACAGGGAAGCAGGGCTTATATGTGATTTGGGCAGTAATATGGTGGCCGCACAGGAGGATGGCGGCTGCACAGGCATACAGGGAAGGGAAAACTCTAGAGGATGGCCAGGAAACAGGAGGCTACATGGTTCTTGTTGGACTTTTTCCTTCAGAATAGGGTCTGGGTGGTGATTTTCCTTCTGATTCGTTCCTCCTGTTGCTGTGTCTTCTGTTGAGGTCAATTATCGGTCACAACTGGTCCTTCTGCACATGTGAGGTGGGCCAAATGTGGCTTGGGCTAGTTTATGGACTAATGGAAATTTACTGGCATTCACAGGGTCAGGTTACAGAATCATAGAAATGTTCTGAAATTATACAGTGGTGATGACTGTACATTTCTTTGAATATAATAAAACCCACCGATGTGTACACTTTAAAGGGTAGATTTTATTGTATGCAAATTTTATGAAAGATATGTTCTTAAAGCATGTTCTTAAAGCATAAAATTCAGTTTTGGTTTAAAAAAATGCAATTATACAGCAATAAAATATTACATAATACAGATTAATTACAATCATGTATAGAGAAATCAAGGCAGCTTCAGTGGAGAGGGTAAGCATTTTCTTCAATTTTCAAGGGTGTAGGGGATTTAGAAATGCAATCTGCAATCAGTTTATAACAGTTCAGTCATATTAGAGAGTTAATGAAAGAGTGGGCTCCAGGTACAATAAAGTAACTGGTGTGGGTGGATTTTGAAACCATAAAACCTCTTCAAGGAAACCACTGCCAGTTTAGAATGTAAGGGTTAAAAAAAAATTCAGGATAATTTTTAGAGAATCATTTTTTCAGTGTTATGTCAATAATCATGGTAAACAATCCCAGGAACTGATGGTTCTCTCTTTTCTTTAAATGGATTCTGGTTGTTATGATAATGATGAGTGAGGAATGAAAGCAATCATGATGAAGATGAAGATTGCACAGTCAAACCAACAAGATGTTTTATCTAGATTCATTAAAATAACTTATATAGAAGCAAAAAAAAGGATTTCAAAGAACTATTTATATTCACATAAGATTTGACACTTAATTCTCAATTTCTAAATGCTTGGGAATTAAGTAGAGAAGAGTCAGGAATAAAGCAGTCAATACCGTGAGCAAGGAATGGTGAAATTGAAGACAGGTACTGGCAAGTAAGCAATTAGTGAACAAAGAGGCATCTAACCAAAAGTAGTGATTTGACTCCAACCCTTGTTCTTGGATGCAGCAAACAACACTCAGAGTTAAACCTGGCTTGAAAGCAAGCATCCTAAGATCAGGTCACACTCATATCTAACAGCTAATGACATAAGAGAAATTCCCAGTGGGGGAACAGCCAATGCTGATGTCCAGATTCAGTTCACTTTACACTTGACATTTATATAATATTATGCTAAGTAAAGATATTTCAAATTTGAAAAAGTGGGAAAAAAGATAAACTAGCAGGAATAGAATGATACAAATAATTCCAGTTTCCTTGCTGGAATGTTGACCAGAGCAAGTACTCAAAAGATGTTTGAAAAAGTTATATTAACTCCCCTTTCCCCAATAACTTCTTAAGTCCCTGGGATACCTTTTTGTTGTGGAGGCTGTAAATAAGAGGGTTCAGCATGGGGGTGAGGATGGTGTAGAAGGCTGACACCATCTTGTCCTGGTTTGGTGTATGGTTGGAGGCTGGTCTCATGTACATGAACATGGTGGCACCATAGTAGAGTCCAACCACAGACAGGTGGGAGGAGCAGGTTGTGAAAGCCTTGTAGTGACTTTCCCCAAAGCCCATGCAGATGACAGCTCAGAGGACATGGGAACAGGAAACAATGATAACTGAAACTGGCAAGATTAGCATCAGCACACAGCAGATGAAAAGAAGTCTTTCAAATGCAGAGGTGTCTTTACAAGATAGTGACAGAAGGGCAGCAACATCACAGAAAAAGTGATGGATTTCCAGAGAGCGGCAGTAAGAGAAAGACAGGGCAGCTGCGAGCACAATGATGCCATCAAAAGAGCCTAGGATCCAAGAAGCAACAGTCAAGAGCATGCAGAGTTTCTGATTCATGAGGATGGTGTATCAAAGAGGGTGGCATATAGCCACGTAGCAGTCATAGGCCATGACAGCCAACAGGAAGCATTCAGCTCTGAGAAGGGACACATAGAAGAATATCTGAGTTCTACAACCTTTCAGAGAGATAGACTTCCAGCCAGACAAGCAGTTGATGGCCATCTTGGGTACTGTGGTGCAGATGAGCATGAGGTCCCTAAAGGAGAGTTAGCTAAGGAGGAAGTACATGGGGGTGTGGAGTTGGTTGTCCAAGTAGATGATAAGAATCATTGTAGTGTTTTCCATGAAGGCCACTGTGAAGATGCCCAGGACCAGAGAGAAGAGGAAGATATGGGTGCGGCTGTGATCGAAAATTCCAAGAAGGATGAATTCAACATGGAAGCTATCATTTCCCCACTCCATGTGGTTATATTGCCTTATCTGCAAGTCCCAAAGAAGGTACAAACTCATTTATTAAGCAAACTGGTTTTGAAAGTGTACCATGGCAAGACCACGGTACTAGACATGTGCACAATTCATGCGTGAGACATTGTCCCCAACCTAGGAGGTCTATAAGGGATATATATCTAAGAGGTATATCAAGTCTTTTCAATTTAATGTCAGCAAGTCAGCAGTGTTTGACAATCCTTCCAAAGACAGAGAAAATTCCTGAAAACTCTCTCTTAATGCTTTGTGTGGCCTACCTAGTCACATTAAGTTATGTGACTGGATCTAGTGCTTTCATGTTTTCTTCCTTATCCAACCTCCATAGAGATCAACTTAAATAAGTGTTTTCTTTATTTTACAGACAAGAAAACTGAAGTTTATAAGAACTTACTGGCTTAGCCATCATTATATATTCAATAGAAAGCCTAGGAGAAAAAACAAAACACGCATCTGTTGTTAAATTTTATGACCATCCCTGATTATATGAAATATCTTTATTGACCATTTTCTCATAGTATGTCTCCAGGTTGCTGCTCTCCTTAATAACCATAGAATTTCTGTTCTCATGGTTTCTCCAATTCCAACCCCCTTCCCATTATGTCTCATCAGCTCAGTGAAAAACCGTAGGGAATCAAAGCCATTGCTCCCATGTGGGCATCTGTACACCTTAATTCAGAGAAGTGTTTAATACCATAACCAGTTACTGTCGAGTCTATTCTGACTCCTGGAGACCCCACCGTGTATGTCAGAGTAGAACTGTGTTCCATAGAGTTTTCAATGGCTGATATTTTGGAAGTAGATAGCCAGTTCTTTCTTCCACCCAAGGACTCCAGAGAAGGTTTTAACACCCTATATTTTAACCTCTCTAACACAGACAAAGCTCTTGAGTCTTACCTTGTTTAATCAAGACACCTATTAAATTTTTTTCTTAAAGAATAGGCCATCCTCTTCTCATCTGAGAAGAATTTTTCTTCTCTCAATCTGGGGAAGGCAGCAGTCTTTTGTAGGGGGAAGAAAATTAATTTCTCCCTGCTACCATAAAATGTTATGAGTAGATGATAAACATCTAGGGGACAAAACAGAATCCCTTTTATGGTTATTGAAAGCTTCACTACAATGTGTTATTTTATGGACTGGTGAAGCTTCATAGTGAGCAAAAGCACAACTGTGTGAACTACTCAGCCTATGAAGGTCACAATAGCCAAAGTCCTGGATGTACTTGTGTGGGGTTGGAGTCACCGGGAGAAATAAACCAGGAGAAGTACACTGAATCAGATCATAGAAAGTCAGAACAGTTTGATTCATCTATTGATGCGGTGTAAGCTGTGGAGTGATGTCGTGAAGTGACGTGAATCGAGTTTGCATTTGAGGTGCTCTCTAGGATGCTAAATGAATTGATAGATCGGGTGGGTAACATCTGCCAGCAAGAAAACGAAAGAGGAGGTACCATCAGCAATCCAGGGGAGCCTGGGTCAAGCCCAGGCATGATAATGGAGGAAGGAGAGGACTGGATAGAAACAAAATCAGCAATCAGACCTCTTTCAAGTTATCAGCTATTGTCTCTAGCCTTGAGTCTTTTTTACCCCGCCTCTAAAATATCATACGATATAGACAGTTCTTTAGAGTCTCATTTTAAGTTTATCCAAATAAAAGTCAGTACAAAGCAAGATCCACATTTTTATTCCTGGTATACACCACTGCCACCAAAATTCTTCCAGACTTCCAGACTTGAATGCTTGAGATGCTGTACTATTTTCTGTTTTTATTTTCTCATGATGTCTTTTTTTTCTCTTTATTTAGCTGTTTAAAATCTATGGTTTGTCATACCCAGATCATGCATTTTGATACAGAATAGCTATTGACTGAGAATCATTTATCATTTTGAGTGTTTATTCCTGATCTATTGCCTTCATTCCATTAAAACAACAAATAGACAGCAGGTAGAAGTTTTTAAATATGTTCAGTTTAATTGAATTAAATTAAGAAATTCAACCCTCTCTTTTTTTCTCCTGGACACCCCTGTGGTGCATGGCATAAATGGAGGTATATCAAACTTTTTCTAAGTAACATCAGCAAGTTAGTAGTGTTTGATACTCCCTCCGAGGACAGAGTAGATTTCTGAGAAATGGTCTCTAAGCTACACCTTAATGCTTTGTGTATCCTATGCCTATCACAACCCTATTAGTTATTTAAAAATTAGCTAGAAATCATTTTTCTATGCTAAACAAACCTGTGGCCACTATACATAATAGTACAACTATTTCACTAGGCAAACTATATAATAATGACTTTTTGTTTCCTTTAATGATGCAAAGCAAAGACATGGCTTTTTATCTCCCTCATAGAATTAAGAAGTTATGCCAATATTCCAAGAGAAAATGTACACTCCCAGAAAATTGAAATATCATCACTAATTTCCTACTTAAAATTACCCAATGCCCCTTCATAGATTTTGGGGCATAAAAGAGTACCTTAAAGGGTAAGTTATGCCAAGTATTGAAACTAGAGAATAACTCCTCTGTAGGTCATAAAATGCATTTATTTGTATGACTACTATGTACAAGTTACTTTCACATATTTTAATCCTACTCACGTGGTGAGACAACCTAAATTCCAGGCAACAAGAATATAGAAAAGGAGGCGAAGACAAGATGGTGCTATAGACAGATGCACCATGCTGTCCCTCTGCAGCAGAGACCTGGAAAACTAAGTAAAAAATAATACAAACATCAATCCTAGAACCATAAACATCAAATAAAAGGATAAAGACCTAGATCAAGCACCAAATGGAAGAAGAAACTGAGGGAAACAGAGAATGTGGAGAGTTACAGAGTGGGGGTCACCTGCTAGCAGTGCCATCTTGGAGCACAGACAGCAATGACCCCTGACAGGGAGTACAGGAAGGCATGGAACTTGCACCAGGAGACAGAACACTTGGTAACCAGAAAAATATGCTTTCCCATCCCTCAGCTTTCTGCCCCATACTTCCCCCTGCCACTTCCCAATGGGCCATGCTGCACCACTTGGCTAGAAAGACATTAGCTAGCCACTGCCTGGGTCTGTCCTACACCCACCGGTTAGCTTCCTTGGACCTTTTTTTTTTTTTTCTCTTTCTCTTTTTCTCCTTTTCTTTCTCCCTCCCATCTAGCTCTATACATCCGTTCCACACCTTCCTGAAAGGCCGTGCCTCTCCGCTGGGCTGGAGACGCACCGGCTGACCACCACCCGTGTCTGCCCTGCCCTCACTGGCTTGTTTGTTTTTTGCTTTTGTTTCTTTCTCCCTCCTACCTAGCTCTGTACATCAAATCCCCTCCCTTCCAACTGGCCCAGAGTCTGTCCTGCCCTCACTCACCAACCCCCACCCGAACTGCCAGTTTTTCTTTTAATTTATTTTTTAATTTTTTTCCTTTCTCTTTTTTCCTTTTCCTTCTCCCTCTAACCTTCCACTGTATGCCACCTTCCCCCCCATCACCACTCCTGAAACCCCCTGTGCTGCTGTGGCTAGAGACCCACCAGCCCAACTCTTCCACAGGTCTGCCCTGCCCCAACAACACTGCCACTTATTTTTTTGTTTTGTTTTTTTCTTTTTCTTTATTTCTTTTCTTTCTAACTCTCATCTGGCCTCGTATGCCACCTTCCCTCCTTTTCTACCAGCACCCAGGTCCACCCTGCCTCCACCTGCCAGCAAGATACCTTTTTTTCCCTCTTTCGCTTTCTTTTCTTTCATTTATCTACCCCCTTCCAGGCCTGTATGCTACCCCTCCCTTCCCACCAGCCCCCAATATGCTGTCACAAATGGAGCATCCCCAGTGCGCAAGCCTGTGGCTGTAAGGGCCTGCACTGTCCCCCCTCTTGCCACTTGACTAGCTGCTGAATGGTGGGAAGCAAGCATGCACCATACTCCATCTGACATCTATACAAAAACCAACAACCCACATCATTCTCAACAGTGAGAAGCTGAAAGCAGTCACCCTGAAAACGGGAGCAAGATCAGCATGCCCTTTATCACCATTCCTGTTTAACATTGTGCTGGAAGTCCTTGCTAGAGAAATAATGCAAGAAAAAGAAATAAAAAACATCCAAATTGAAAAGGAAGAAGTAAAACTATCCCTATTCACAGATGATATGATCCTGTATATAGAAAACTCCGAAGATTCCACAAGAAAACTACTGGAACTAATAAAAAGATTCAACAGAGTAGCAGGATACAACATAAACATACAAAAATCAGTTGAATTCCTCTACACCAATAAAAAGAACTTTGAAAGGAAATCAGGAAAACAATATCACTTATAATAGCCCCCCAAAAGATAAAATACTTGGGAATAACTCTAACCAGGGATGTAAAAGACTTATGCAAATAAAACTACAAAACATTACTGCAAGAAACCAACAGGGACCTACATAAATGAAAAAACATATCGTGTTCATGGACAGGAAGTCTCAACATTGCGAAAATGTCAATTCTACCCAAAAGGATCTACAGATATAATGCGATCCTGATCCAAATATCAACAGTATTCTTTAGAGAGATAGAAAAACTAAGAGGCCCCAGATAAGTAAAGAACTATTGAAAAAGAAGAACAAAGTAGGAGGCCTTACGCTATCTGATCTCAGAACCTACTATACAGCCATGGCAGTAAAAACAGCTAGGTACTGGTACAACGACAGACACATGGATCAATGGAACAGAATTGAGAACCCAGACGTAAATCTATCCACCTATGGTGAGCTAATCTTTAACAAAGGACCGAAGTACATTAAATGGGGGATAAGACGGTCTCTTTAACCAATGGTGCTGGCAAAACTGGATGTCCATCTGTAAAAAAGTGAAACAGGACCCATACCTCACATCATGCACAATAACTAATTCAAAATGAATCAAAGACCTAAATATAAAACTAAAACGGTAAAGATCATAGAAGAAAAAATAGGGACAACACTTGGGGCCCTAATATACAGCACAAATAGGTTAC